TTTGAAGGAGTAGTTATTAGGAAAGAACCCTTAGGAGAGAGTTAAGGGTAGATGGGGGTATGGGGGTAAGGGGTGGGTGGTTGGGTCGTTTTGCTTCGGTGATTATATCAGCTAAGTGGTCGTGATGGTGGCTGACTAAGTGCCTGCCTGACTTTGTATTGAAAAAAATCATTTTTTTTCTCTCGAATTTTTTTTTTTACTTTTTCCTTACGATTTTCCTACGATTTTCCTCCTACAGAAAAAAATTTTCATTTGAAAGTAAAAATGCCAAGTATATAAGAAAGAGTGTGTATAGGAACCGGAAATAAGGGAAAAACGACGATGACGTCAAAAAATAAAAAAATAAAAATGTCGTAAATTTTTAGTTAGATTGTAAATCATCCGGGGTGTGAGGGTGAGGGGTGAGTTCATTCAATTCCCCCCCTTACTAGATAGTAATTGATATATATCAACTTTTTCCTTTTTTAAAACGATTCACTTTGTCTTTACTTTACGTGACGTCACTTTTTTCAATTACCTTGAAATCCTCTTCCCCGTCAGGTAAAAAATATCGAAAATTCGTGCAAATATTTTTCCGCCGCCGCCGCCATTTTTTTTTTTTAATTAAAAAATATGTCGCGCGGCTTTTTTTTTATGACGTCACGGTTTATTATCACGTCATACATTTTTACAATTTTTTTTAGGGTGTTTATTTTTTTATTGGGGAAAAAAAAATGAAATTAAAAACAAAAAAAAAAAATTGATTTTTTTTTTTTTTTCGTTTCGTTTCGGGCGACCTTTTTTTTTTTTTTTTTTTTGATTTTCACTTAAGGCGAAGTCCCTTTTTTTTTTTTTTTTTTTTTGAAAGCCTCGTGGGAAACCTGCATTTGTCTTTTGTCTTTTTTTTTTTCCCGAAATTTATTTATTTTTTTTCTTTTAACGTCTTCTTTGGAATAATTTTTTTTTTTTAAGGGAAAAAAATATATGTATGGGAAATAAAAAGGGATTTCTTCCCGATAAGGAAAGGGCATACTGTATATAAGGTTCAGTTACTGAATTCCGTAGTTTTATATAAAAAGTATGATGAGAAAGAAAGAGGGTGTAAAAGATTTTATTTAAAGAGAGAGAGAGAGAGAGAGAGAGAGTGAGAGTGAAAATTACAAGAAGTGAAAAAGCAGTTAAAAAATTGAAAATGAGTTTGAGAAGAATCGAGGTGGTTGCATAAAAAAAAAAAAAAAGGGTCTCTCTCTCTCTCTTTCTCTCTTTCTCTCTCTCTTTTTGAATTTCTTGAAAAATGATGGATTACTTTAACTCAACACAGATTCTCCATTAATTCGATGTTATATGACATGACTTGACAAACTATAGAGAGAGAGAGAGAGAGAGAGAGAGAGCAAGAAAAACTTAAATTGTTTTTTTTTTTTTTTCATTTTTCTTATCATTTAAAAATGTACATACATATTAAAACTTTATTATTATTATTATTATTATTATTTTTAATTGATTCAACGTGGCTTTGAACTTTTTTTTTTTTTACTACCACTACTACCAACTTAACAAAAATAAAATGTAGAGGGGGAAAAAAAAAAGAAGAAAGTCGTATAGGGAAAGAAAAAATGGAGGGAGGATGGGGGAGGAAAATTTTTTTTGGTTTAATGTATTTGTAGAAGAAAGTGATTTTTATCTATCCATTGTGGAAATTTTCCTTTTCTCTCTCTCTCTCTTTCTCTCTTTCTCTCTTTTTCTCGTTTTTCCAGAAAAGGTATCCAGATAAAAAACCATATATGAAAATATAAACATAAAAATTTGGTCCTGTCATTTTTTTTTTTTCCTTTACCCTAACCTATTATTCTCAATTTTCATTTTTTTTTTCATAATCCATTTCTGGTTTTGATTTTCTTTCCAAAGATTCAAACATGTCCGTAACAAAATTTTTTTCCTTACCTCCCCACCCCTCCCCGCCTCGTACCTCCCTCCCTCCCTCCCCACCTACCTGCCTCCCACTCTTACGTACTTTTTTTAATTATTTGTAAAATTTTCTTTGAATTTTCTTCTTTAAAAAAATTTTTTCCCCGTAAAGGAATTTTCTTCACCGGAACTTACGAAAAGGGGGGCGTAAGGAGGGAGTTGGGGTGTGCGTGCGTGTGGGTGAATAATATTCGAAAGGTCAATTTAGTGACCTCTAAAAAAAAAAACCCCTTTTATTATTATTATTATTATTTAGGTCTCAAATTTGCTTTTTAAGCTAAAATTTAAATCGTTTAAAAAAAAAAAAAAATATTTAAATGGTCATTTTTATTATTATTATTATTATTATTTTCTTACTCTTGGTCCTTTTCTTAAACGAGCGTGTTAAGAAAAACCTTATTATTATTATTATTATTATTATTATTATTATTTAAACTTTGGACGCTTTCCAAACATCCAATATAGACTTTTAAAAAAAAATGTTTGAAAAAATTTTTGTTATGTTAAGTGAATCTTTAAAATGATTTTAACGATTTAAATTTATATTAATGTTTAACTTATGAGTTTGGTAAGGGTTGCCAACAAAAATTGCATAAGAAAATAATAAAAAAAAAAAAAGAAAAACTAAGGGTAAAATTATTATTATTATTAATGCCTTAGGCAGGTATAAGAAATCAAAAGCATGGAAAACCGTGAGTGAAAGAAAAAAAATGTGCGTGTGTGCGTGGGTGGGTGCGTGAGTATAAAAGGCAAATCGGAAATTTGACTTTAAAGATTTGATTTGACGTTTTCAAAGGGATGCTGAGAATAAGAAGAAGAATAAGAATAAGGAACCCTTAAATCGACATTTTTTTTTTTTATATATAGAGAAAACGTTTCGAGTGTTACAATTTGTCGGATTTAAGATTCTTACAAAAAAAAATTTATATATATATATTTTTTTTCTTCTGCTTTACGTTTTGATAGAGTCACACAGTTTTTCCCGTTTTTCTTCTGATAATTGCTGTCAATCAAATTTCTTTTTTTTTTACCTTTTAAATTTAGATTTTACATCCTCCTCAGTCTCACTCTCTCTCTCTCTCTCTCTCTCTCTCTTCTCTCTCTCTCTCTCTCTCTCTCTCTCTCTCTCTCTCTCTCTCTCTCTCTCTCTCTCTCTCTCTCTCTCTCTCTCTCTCTCTCTCTCTCTCTCTCTCTCTCTCTCTCTCTCTTCTCTCTCTCTCTTCTCTCTCTCTCTCTTCTCTCTCTCTCTCTCTCTTCTCTCTCTCTCTTCTCTCTCTCTCTTCTCTCTCTCTCTTCTCTCTCTCTCTTCTCTCTCTCTCTTCTCTCTCTCTCTTCTCTCTCTCTCTTCTCTCTCTCTCTCTCTCTTCTCTCTCTCTCTCTCTCTCTTCTCTCTCTCTCTCTTCTCTCTCTCTCTCTCTCTCTTCTCTCTCTCTCTCTTCTCTCTCTCTCTCTCTCTCTCGCTACGTGGAAAAATTAGAATGATTAGGGAAATCAATGAAACAATTTGAAATTTCCTGATACCGGTTATCTATCGTGAACAACAATAATAATAATAATAAATAATTTTATTTATTTATTTATTATCCATAAAAATAGGAAGAAAAAAAAATTTTCCCACGAATTTTCTTTTGATTTTCCTAATTGTTGGCTCCTCTCTATTTATTTTTCCAGACTGCCAGATGCGCAGTGTTAACGTGAGAGCAGTCAACGCGAAGCGAAGAAAACCAACAACCTCTTCTTCCTGCTTGTGAGTGCTTTTATTTAGCTTTGTTTTTTTTAAAATGCATGCTATTACACGTACCTTTCAACAAACAAACAAACAAACAAACGAACGAACAAACAACCTCCCCTCCTAACTCACATCCAAACAAAAAATCCTAAAAATTTTTTTACCTTTTTACCTTTTCTTTGATGAAATTTTATCATTATTATTATTATTATTATTATTATTAATTAAATTTTAAGAATTTTTACGTTTAAAATAATTAATTAATTAATAAGTCACGTGATTGATTTTTTTTTCCCCAAAGAATAAAATTAAATTTAACCCCCTAAGGGGTCGCGTTTCTTTCTTACTTTGTTATCATCAAATTTTAATTTTCTTATTTTTTTGTAAAATTTTGACACTTTAAAATTAACATTTTGTTATTTTTTTTTTGTTAATAAGTTATTTTCATACGAGTAAAATTTTACGTAAACGTATTAACAAACGTACAAACAAACAAACAAACAAACGAAACGATTTTCGTTTGCCTCGAGTTTTTTTTTTTTTTTTTTTTTTTTTAAATTAATAACAACAAAAACAAAATTTTTTAATTTTTTTTTTTTTTTGTCTTTCATCTTTTTTTTTTTTTTTTTTTAAACCTTTGTTTTCGTTTGTTTGTTTGTTTGTTTGTTTGTTTGATGCTTGCACGTTTATCCCCATCTCTCTCTCACTCTCATCCTCGAGGCGATTTTTTTAAGCGAAAAAAACAATTTCGAATAACAAAAAAAAAAAAAAAAAAAATTCGCTTCTCACCCTTACTATTACTTAAACTCAACCTTATGACAACAAAAAAAATTGCACGGATTGATTTTTTTGCTTACGTCATCATCATCATCATCATCATCGTCATTATTATTATTATTATTATTATTATTTTACCTCACTTGCATGTTTAACAAATTTTTTTTTTTTTTTTTGCTTTTGAACAAAGTAGTTTAATAAAAGTATAATAATAATCATAATAACAATCGAAACTTTACTCCCGTTTGTATTAATTATTATTATTATTATTTGTTTTTTGGGTTTTTTTCTGTTGTTTAGGGGGGGGGTTGTATGGATAAGACTAATAAAATTTTTTTTTCTTTTGTTTCAGCTGCTCAGACCCCTCATCGAGGCAGTAAGTACCAAAAAAAAAAAGAACAACAGCAACAGGAAAAATGATTTGAATTGTTTTTATTATTATTATTAATTTTTTTTCTATTGACACGCGCATAATAAATTTTCTTTACGAAATACATAATTAACAATAAAATTTTTTTCAAAGTTGTTGTGGGCGTCAAGAGGAGAGAGGAGACTGCTACGGGGGGATCAGACCAGATCACACAAGACCACAACTCGGCCCCCAAGAAGCCCCGTTTGGTTTTCACAGATCTCCAGCGCCGTACGCTACAGGCTATTTTTAAAGTAACGTTTTTTTTTTTTTACATCATTTTAATTTTAACGAATATTTTTTTTTAAAATCAGTGTTACCAACTCAAACTCAAAAAAAAAAAAATTTTTTTAATATTCCGTTGGTATAAAAAAAAAAAAAAAATCATTTTATATTCTATGAAAGAATTATTTATTGGAAAAAAAAAAAATTTTCCTCTCTTTTTTTTATTAATATTATTTTTCCTTTTATCTAAAATTTAAATTATCATCATCATTATTATTATTATTATTATTATTATTATTATTATTAAATATTTTAATAAAATTTTTTAGTTAAGGGCGGTTGATAAAAAAAAAATTTTTTCCCCCTCCCCCTTGTTGTTGTTGTTTTTTACGTATGTAAAATGAAAAAGATAAAAAAAAAAAAAAATATCGAAAGAATTTAACCTGTAAAACAAACAAACAAACAAACAAACAGACAGACAAACAAACAAACAAACGGAAAAAAAATTCACCCTCATTTTACAAAGAATTAAAAATAAATCGGATTTTATCAAAAGAAAGGGTGAAATAATGCAATTAATCGAGAGGTTTTGGAGTCAGTTAATTAAGTAAGAAACAAAAAACGGTTTTTCAAAATGGCGGCGGTTCTTATTTTTTTTTTTTATCTTTTTAGGAAACGAAAAGACCCTCGAAAGAAATGCAAGTAACAATTGCAAGACAATTGGGATTAGAACCGACGACAGTTGGTAATTTTTTTATGAATGCAAGACGAAGGTCGATGGATAAGTGGAGGGACGAAGAACCTGGTAAAAATGGCGGATCACCATCATCGAGCGGTACCTCATCACAACCGGTGCCTCATGGAATGCAACAGACGACTCCGGATGATCCAGCATCCGTACATCTTGATGATGTCGGTCACGGACACGATGGATTGTGACCCCCGGCATCCGTCCTTCCTCTTCTTAACCATCATCAACATATTGTTTATGTAGAAAGACAACAATGACCTCAATGTAAAAACCCCAATCGCGATAATAATAATAATTATATTTTAAATGACTACGAATTTTGCTAGCATATATGAACGTGGCATTAGAAAAAATTTACAAACACCTTTTTATCGGGCCTTATTCTTCCTTTTGTTAATGTATATTCATCATAACATTCCCCAAACATGAATTTCTTCTTCTTCATCTTTCTTTTTCTTCATCTTTCTTCTTCTTTTCCTCTTCTTCTTCTTCTTCTTCTTTTCATCTTTCTTCATATTTTACATGACAAATTAAATAAAATTTATAGACATTTTGTATGTATGCCTTTGCCTTTGTCTAAATTTTCTTAATTCTAAAATTGAATCATAAGAACAGAGTCATAGAGAAACAAAGTCATAAGAATAGAATCATAGAGGAACAAAATCTATCTAGCTAGCTATCACAATTTTTTTTCTTAGCCATCACAAACAACCGAACAAAAGGAAGATATTAAAAAAAAAAAAAAATTAACAATAATAATAATAATAATAATAAATAATTAATTTAGTTTTTATTTATAATTGAAAAAAAAAATAAAAAATAGTTTGAGTGTTTAGTTACTCTATGAAATATTATTTTATTCGAATGAATAATGATTATATATATATATATATATATATATATATATATATATATATATATATATATATATATATATATATATAATAAATAAATAAATAAATAAATTGCGCTTTATGATAATCACTTTAAACAAACTGATCTCCATTTTTCTAGTCGATTTTTTTTCTCTATTTTATTATTATTATTATCATTATTATTATTATTATTTTTATTTTTATTATTATTATTAATTTATTATATTTTATTTAATTATTAATAATTTTTTTTTTTTTGGGGGGGGGGGGGTAAAAGTCGTTGGATTATTTTATTTATAAAAATTTGGCTTTAAATTACTTGTATTATTATTATTATTATTATTATTATTATTATTATTATTTATTTATTTATTTATTAAATTATTTTTTTTAAGTTTCTCTTTTTCAAAGGGGGCATTATTATTATTATTAATATGTTTAAATCAATTAAATAAAATCAATAAGTTTTGTAGTAAATGCAAATGAAAAAAAAATTCCTTTTTAAATAAATATTAATAATAAAAATAATAATAATAATAATAATAATAATAAATTAGTAATTAATATATATATATATGAACAATAAATATATATTGTAAATTTAGTTACCACGTATTAATAATAATAATAATAATAATAAATGTAAGTAAAAAAAAAAAAAAATTTTTTTAGTTGGTAGCTTGTTATTATTACACGTCATTCCACTTTTAATTTTTATTTAAGTAAACTAGTCATTCTTTATAATAATAATAATGATAATATTTGTGATTATTATTATTATTATTATTATTATTATTATTATTATTATTTATCGGTTATTTATTAATTTTATTTATTAATTAATTGGCTTTGCTACCGACTTTTAATAATATAAATAAATAAATAAATGTATGTATTATTTACACGGAAAATAATTATTAGCACCTCTTAAAATAATTTTTTTTTTGTTGTATAGTGACGTAGTTATATAGAGTATCCATGTACAAATGTAAGAAGCAGAAGACAAAAATTTCAGTTTTTGTACAGATAAATTCATATCAAAATAATAATAATAATACTAATGGTAATAATTAAATAAAAATAACAATTTTTTTTTTTTTTTGTAATGATTATTATATTTAATCGATAGATCGATAAATCGATCGATCCATCGATCGTTAACCGAAATGCATTTATGATAATAATAATAACAATAATAATAATAATAATAATAATAATAATAATAAATGTATAATTAATAGGAAATTTTTTTTTGTTTTATTAAGTTTCGATTGAAAATATTATTAAATGACAAAAAAAAAAATTTGATGATGATGATAATAATTTTTTTAGTGCCTTTTTTTAAATAAAATAACAACAACAACATGATTAATAACAACCGCATAATAATAATAATAATAATATTTGGATATATAGTCATCATGTGTGTATTGTAAATTAATTATATATGATTAATAATATTTCGGTTAGCGTTCGATTTAAAGGAAAATGATGTAAAGTTAATATTATTATTATTATTTATTATTTTAATAATTATTTATTATTGAATCGTTTATTTATTTTTTATTTTTATTTATTTTAAATTTTTGTCACTTCTAGTCATTTTTACATTGTTATTATTATTATTATTATATATATTTTTTTTATCGTGAAAGTAAATTATATTAATGGGTTATTGATTTTTATTATTATTATTATTTAATTATTAATGATCTCGTTTATTTATTTATTTTTTGTTTTAAAGCTCTGTACAGATCACACAAGTTGAAAAAATATAAATAATAATGAAATTGATTTCATAATTTTTTTTTTTTTCGTCATTAATATTTTTATACACGAGTCTTTTTGGTGTTTTAATTTTTCATAGGTTGGCACTTCCGAAATTGTAAAACTCGTTAGCCAATCAGATTACTCGTCTAGCATTCCATCCATAGTGCGGTGGCGGTCAAACGACAAGTAGTTCGGTTTCTTTTTTTCCTTTTTTTTCTATTTTAATTTAAGTGTTTTTTTTTTAGAAAAAACGAATAAAATTATGGTGAAATGCAGTATTACTTATTACTTATTCGTATTTAATTAATAGTTGTGTAATAATTTCAATAGTTTTTTAAAAAATTTCATTTGAAAATTGGTTAATATGTGGAGGAGGAATACTAACGGATTTTGAGACATATCACAAAAAGAAACGTAAGTGTGTATATATATTATTTATTGAAATTAAAAATTAATAAAATATCGAACTTTTTTTTTAAAAAAAGAAAAAAAAGTTTTTTTAAATTAAAACAAACAACAATAACAACAATTTAATTCATTTTTATTATTATAATAATAATAATAATTTTTTGAACACATTGAAACAATAAAATTTTTTTTATTTTTATTAAATATGTATAATTATATAAATAGTAGTAAGTATATCGTATAGATAAATATTTATAAAAAATTGAAATAATCTATTAAGCATGAACAATTTAATATCGTTAATAACGGCGATAATAGTTTTAAGATACATAAATTTTAAAAATAACGGTTTTTCATTAGTTTTCACATTTTTTTTTTTGGTTTCACGCAATGGATCGTGATTATTATTAAAACATTAATAACACTTTGTGCTTTTAATTAAATTTTTCATCTTGAAAATATTATAAACGCTTAATTATAATCGAATAAATGCTAATAATTACGATTTTATCGTTACGTTTTTTCAAATTCAAAAAATAGAACGCGTAGAAAACGGGAAAGAATTTAACGTTAAATAGTTTTAAAATTATCCGATAGATGGCAGGCTAGTGCCTAAAAATCGGTAACGATGGCAAAATGGAGGCCGAAAAAAAAAAATTTCTTTTATTTTTTTAAATTACGATAAAATTATAATAAATATTTATATAGATTAATAAATATGAGTATTTTTAACAATATTTCGATGCATAACAATTAAACGGATTTATTTTCAAAAAAAAAAAACATCAGCCGAAATAATAAAAAGCTTGATATTATTATCAATTAACAAGTAAGAACAATAAATAAACATTAGTATTAATATTATTAAATCGAAAATTTCATAAAATATATTTATATATATATATATATATATATATATATATATTTAAATAATTTATTTAATTACGTCATAACATTTCAAAACGGTTATTGATATGTAATTGTTTTTTTTTTTTCTTTCGGTTAAAATCTGCGAATCGAATTTTTGAATTTTAAATTTCGAACAAATCGAAACGCAAAGTAACGAACGAACGAACGAACGCGTCATTCAATTCAAAAAATGACGCAATTTCCGGTTTTGATTATCGCGGTGAGATTTGTCAAAAAAAATAAATAAATAAATAAACCGGAAAAAGCTATTCTTTTGTTTACATTCGCAAGCACGTTATTTTATTTAAATAATAATAATAATAATAAAGAATCAGATAAATACGAAGCAATATCCGTTAATGTAAAATTACTTGTGTGTGTGTGTGTGTTGTCCAATATGGCTTCCAGATTTTTTTTTTTTATATAGAGAAAAGAGTTTAATAAAAAAAATATTTACATTTAATTTTTTTACGACGGTATAAATTTAATGGGAATGAATGTTTTAGTACGTGAAATGTGCGAGAAAAAAAACCGTTGTAAAAAATTTGTTTAATATCCTTCGTGAAAAATAATAATAATAATAATTTCGCGTTATTTATTTTAACTTTTATATCGTGTCATTTTATGTTATTTCATGTTTTCCCCATTAGGTTTTTTTATTATTAACTAATAATAATAATATTTTAAATTATATTTCCGTTTTTTATTTATTTTTTTGTTTACGGTTTTCTCTCTCTCTCTCTCTCTATTTAAATTAAACTCTCTCTGTTCATGTTTTTTTTTTTAACGGTCGAACACGAGGAAAAAATTCTATAAAATTTAACGGGAAAAAAAAACTTTAAAGATTTAGGTAACAGATGCGTGTAATTGTAAACGTACAGCGAAAAAAAAAAAAAGAAAAATTTTTAGTCTGTTCCAGGCATAAATAATTGTAGAAAATGTGTGTGTGTGTGTGTGTGTGTGTGCGTGTGTATGCTTTGTTAGCTTGATCCGATAACATCGTCTATTGATCATTCTAGAAAGTTTAGAATATTTTTTTTTTTTTTACCGAGAGTAACTACTTTTTTTTCGTTATAAATCATCTTACATGTTTTATCTTTATTATTATTTTATTTTTTAACGTATCATCTTCGATAAAATATTTCGAGTTTCGAGATATCGAAACAAAAGATTATTTTTATAAAATTTTTTTATATTTATACGAAAAGTTTTTCTTTTTTTTTCTTTTGGGGAGGGGAGGATGTGTGGAAAATTTTTCACTGTCGTGGTTTTAAAAAAATTTTTTATCGAGTTTTCTGTCGAGTTTTCTTTTTTTTTTTTTTTGTTAAATAAATAAATAAAAAAAGGTTTCGAACTTTTTTTTTACCTTTTGTCGTCGCAATATTTAAAATATTTAATCCGTAAATTTTTAATAAAAAATCGAAATTCCGGAAACGGTTCGAACCTTTTTCTTTTTTTTTTTGTAATTTATACCCCTTGTCTTATTTTAACGAAAAAAAAAAAAAACAAAAATTATTATCCGATTTTTTAAGGAACGTTCTAGAAAATTAAAATTTATGTGAGAAACAAAAAAAAAGGAAATTCGGTCTTGTTTAATTTTCGTTACTCTCATTATTATTATTATTATTATTATTATTATTATTATTATTATTATTATTATTATTATTATTAAAGCTACGTTATTTAACACCGAAACGTCATCTTTTTTCATTTTTTTTTTGGACGAAACAAAAGGTTGTTGAATCATTGTACAAATCCTTTATGATTTAATAGATATAAATCAAAAGGTAAAAAAAAAAGAAAAAGTTGCGTGATTCGTAAATTTTCTCACCGTTTAAGAGGGTTTCCTTTTTCTTTAAACATTTCTTACCAAAAAAAAAATTTTTTTTCATACGTTTTTCGACTTTGTTTATTTTTCACGTCATGCGAGAAAAATTTTATATGTAAGAATGTCAGAAGGAATAAATCCTGCACGTGGCTCCCCTTCTTTCCCCTACCCTCCCCTCTCCCTAGCCACCCTTTTTTCCTGTTTTTTTTTCGATAGGTATTAATTAAATAAACTACCCCCCCTTCCCCAGGTAGTACTAGTGTGGTACTAGTCGGAAATATTTTTACACCTTTTCCAAATGGTTAAATTGCACATCTTATCACGAGTATCGAAATAATAATAATAATAATAATTTTAAAGTAGAAAGAGAGAAAAACGTTAATATTACGATAATAAATAATTACGTAAGAAATGGTTTCGAGGTTTTGAGTTCAAAAATGGTAAATTTATAACTTTTGCCTGGAAACAACTGGTAAAGTATTTCTCTCTCTCTCTTTCTCTTATAATATTAAATATAAATTTTTATCACGCCGTAAAATATCTGAACTGTTATATTATCGCGTCGGAAAATTCACATAAGAATCATAAAAATCAAAATGGTGGGAACCATATAGGGGTAGAGAGAGAAAAAAAAAGTTAGGCGATCGAGAGAGAGAGAGAGAAATACGCGTGTGTGTGTGTGAGAGAGAAAAAGTAAGAGAAAATTAATGAAACATAATTCTCATCATAATATATATATATAAATTACGATTAGAAATTTTTTTTTTTTTTTGTAACTTTCCCGGAAATTCGATTCGGATTTAACGAACCGGAAATTGGCGAAGAGAGAGAGAGAGAGAGAAAATATAAACGTGTGGTAGTTCGAACAACTATTCAATTAAACTTATCTTCTTCTTCATATTATTATTATTATTTTTTTCTCGACGTAATTTATTTATTTGTTTCTTCTTCCGACGAATGTTTGGCAAGTGCGAGAAGAATCATTGTTAATTCTTTTCTGTTTATTTTACCATCTTGATTGTAATCGACACCCTGAAGAATGGTTTCTTCGAATTCTTCTAAATCCGCCGCATCGTAATCCTTTTTAACTAATTCTAACAAATCCTTGAGAAAACCTCGCAATTCTTCATTTTCTATTGATCCGTTGTTGTCCTGTGTAAGTGTGTGCAAGAAAAAAATTATTATTATTATTATTATAGTCACTTTTAAACACGACAAGGCTCTTATTTGTCGTAATGTTTTTAAGCATTTATTCCAGGTTTCTACCCGAGGATTCCTTAGGGATAAATGCTCGAATTTCGGTAGTGCTATTTATACAATATTTTCCGAAGAATGTGGGCCGTTCCACATAGTGCGATTTTATTATTATTATTATTAATTACTTTTTAATTGCTTTAAAAATTTCATCCGGAGTAAAATTACTGCTCTTATTACGTCACCGTTTAATAATAATAATAATAATTAATATTAAAAAAACGCGAAACCGCCGCGCTTTATTTCATTTAAGAAATTCGACCATTATAAATAATAATAATAATAATAATTATAATAATTTTTTGTTAAACTGACAGTAAAAATTTAAGTGTTAATTCCCGTGTGTAAAATTTTAATATTATGAAAAATTATAAATTTTAAAATTATTATTATTATTATTATTTTTTTAAATTAAAATTCGTATGAAAAAGTTTACGAGGGGAAAAAAATTAAACAATTATTATTATTATTATTATTATTATTATTATTATTATTATTATTATTATTATTATTATTATTATTATTATTATTATTATTGTTATTATTATTCGTTTAAAACGTGAAAAACATGAACGTTTTTAAATAAATTTATGTAAGGGGGAAAAAAAAACTTTAAATATTTATTATATGTAGTAGTTTTTTTTTTTTTAACCCCCCCCACCATCCCCCCAAAGTTGAATTCTTTATGGCTCCCTGCACACGAATTCATGTTTTAAAAAAAAAAAAAAGCAACGAATTTTTTTTTATAAAAAAGCAAATAAATTATTTATGAATTTGAAATACTTTTTTTGTGACGACAAAAAACTTTTTCCCTTTTTTTTTAAATAAAAAGTTTGTAGCAAAAAAAAAGAACATTTGTTTGTATCGTTGCAATCATGTTTGTATTTAACTATTTATCACGACGTGTTGTTGTTCTAGAAATTTCTTTTTTAAAACGAATAATAATTATTACGCCATTTAATTTTTTTTTCCCCCCAAATTTTTAAAATATTCGCTAGGGATTCGTTTGAAAAACAAACAAACAAACGACAGGGGGAATTTTTTTTAAATATTTTGTTTGTTTGTTTGTTTGTTTACTACTCGTTTGTTTTTTTTATTTTGAATTTTTTTTTTTTTAAATCGCCATTTTTAACGGTTCGTTTAACTCGTGCTCATTTCGCTCATCAATTTTTTATTGATGATTTATATCGTACGATAAAATTTTTTTAAATCGATTTTATCGATCGATTTTATTTTTATATAATAATAATAATAATAATTGTTTTTTTTTCTGTTAGGACGACGTTCTTTCCCGCCTTTTTAAAAAAAAAAACGCGCGAGTTATTTAATTTAAATATACGTGACCGTATAATGTAAACGCAACGTTTTTTTTTACGAAACCAATATATACGTGTACGTGTAAATGTACAT